CCTGCATCCTCTGAAGGTCACTTTCCTCAGACAGGGCTCCTTGGATGCTACAGATAATTGGATCCAGACTGATGGGATCCATGGGCTGGGGGGAACACGTCCAGGATTGAACAGACTGATCTKCATTTAACATCCATTTCTCAGTGCAAACCCTCTCCAGGAGCCCTCAGGTGTTTTCCATTCAAGTCCAAACTTAAATGCTCCATCTAAAAGGTACCCACAGGCAATTAAGRACATAAAACCGAGCTCTATAAAAGCGGCCACTCCATTCAGATCTGATTGTTCTGGGTGTGAGCAGAGCAGCAGTGCTGGGCTGTGGGTTTCACRTCAGCTGTGCCGTGCCTTTGGCAGCCTGGCACCCACAGCTGTTCCTCGATGCAATTTTTGGGGCTGCCAGCTGGACTGAGCCGTCCCAAACGGATCATGTGTGCCTAACAAGAATGAATTCTGCATATGTTCGGGGTCCTGGCCTGGCAGAGGGAGAGGTGGGGGTGCACAAATGCTCACTGTCCCCAGCCCTGTGCCTACACTTGGCCAAGCACACACCTGCAAAGGAAAGGTGACATCTGCAAACCTCCAGACAGCAGCAGGAGCTTCCTCCAGAAGGTTTATTTGCATTCATCTGCTTTATGACGCTGATTTTCCATACCAGTGACTAGTGACATCCCAGCTCCAAGCCGATGGCTCATCATGGACTGCAAAAAGCTGCTGTGATTGCTCACAAAGCCCCTCTCCCAGCATTTTAATCACTCATTTCCAAGCTGTAAGGCCCTGCTTCAGCACGACTTCAGCTCTCCAGTGCAACTGCACAGGCATGACATAGACAGGCACAAATATTTTTTAGTGCCAAAATTATTGTCAAGTGCTTCTGTAACTGATCARCACTTCAGTATCACAGCTAATTTGSTGTTGGCWTGTTCTGTTGCACAATGTGATAGTTCAAAGGYRCATAGAATGGCCTGGGTTGGAAAGGACAAYCTCGGGCAGGGAACACCTTCCACTTGGCCAGGTTGCTCCAAGCCCCATCTGAGCTGCTCTTGGACACCTTCAGAACTGGGAGAAGTTGTGTTTCACCTTCATGAAGAAGAATTTCTCTCTATGATTACTCCAAACCTGCCCTCTCTCACTGTGAAGTCATCGCCACTCCAGGCCCCTGTGAGCACTCCCTCTCCACCTTTCTGGTGAGCTCCCTTCAGGTGCTGAAACACTCAAGTCATCCCAAAACCTTCTCTATTCCAGGCATGTACTCACATCTAAAGAAACCATTTTAAATGATCTAAACTTTCCAAAATTGGTGYTTCCCATGGTCATTTACACCTATGGAATATGCTGGGAGGCAAGCAGCTGGGATCCATAACTCCAAAGAGGGGTCAGCASCACCTCTTGGTTTGCATCTCCCACCAGATCATGAGACATAAAATTGCCACTGGCACAAAGCTCGGCTCCAAATGTTTTATGCCTAAAACCCAAGCTCATTTTAGCGGCAAGGAGAAAAAATAGTATTTGATTTCAAAAGAGGAGTGAGTCCTTGCTCATCCTGACTCAGAATATTAATCAAAGCCTCAGCTGGRGAAGATCAGTGGGCACAGGGTGCACATGAGGTGATTGTCTATCACAAAAGCACAAGAGGCCTCACTGCAGCTCTGTGCAGAGCCCAGGGACAGGAGAGCTGGCCACTCCAGCACTCTCTCTCCTCCTCCACTCCACTGCTAAATTGCATCAAACACACCTTAGCAATGAACTCAGCATGTCCTGAATGCTTTTCCTGAGTTGCCCTTTGCTGCAGCCACAGAGGGAACATGATCATGACCGTGGTGTGATAAATATAACACAATAAATCCAATGGCACACACCAGAGGAGGTGAAGAGCAGCTTCTTCATCTATTTACAAACCAACAGTGGCTGTTTGCCCCTTTCCATCACCATTTGAGGCAATGAATTAACAAAAACATGCATTTCTTGAGCAGCTTTCTTTTTGTTATGATTATTACACTGCTAAGATCACTGAAGATCCAGCTTGACCCAAACAAACCAGCAATGTTGCAGAGAACCTGAGGTTAGAAAAGCCCTCTGAGATCATCAATTCCAACCATTCCCTGACCCTGCCAAGCCCACCTGTGACCTCTGTCCCCAAGTGCCACATGTACATGTTTTTTTAGCATTCCAAGGAGTGATGATTCCACCACTTACAGATAATAATATCCATTATATTCATGTCTGAAACTTGGTAGGGAAAAAAAAGAAAAAGAGGAGTGAAGAGATAAAAGGAGAATTTTACCATCAATAGGGCCTCCAARCAATGGATTGTGATCCTCTGAAGTGAGTTTTGCCTCGTGATGAGGCGTATCAAAGAGGGAAGCTTGAAGGACTCCTGAGTCATCAGCATTTTGCTGTGACATGGGACAGGAGGGAGCTTTCCACCCTCTGTCACAGCCTGTCCATATCTGGGCCTGGTGGCAGCTCCCAATTCAGCCAGAGGGAAGACACATTTAATGCCATGAAATCAGGTTTGGAATGGGAAACATTTTGTTTCTTCCTCCCAACAGAGTTATCCAATGGCTTTGGCAGGAGTGACCCAGAGAGTAGTGAGTGACATTTGGTTCCATCCTTCATGTTTCTGTGACCTCAAACTTGAGCAGGAGGATAAATAATCATGCCATTCTTTCTCTCCCCTGCCACAGAGAAGACCTGAGATACCAAAAGAAAGGTGTGGAAAGAGAGAGAGGTAAATTCCTCTAAAGAGCTGGACTCTGAAAGAGACCTGAACCTCRGGCATCTGTCACCTGTAGAAGTTTTAATGATGGTTTGGGCAGCCAGGAGCATTCTCTGGACCCCTACTGCACTTCAAAGCCATTGATTCACTGATGGAATGTTTTGTTACACAGCATTTTCACTGTCACTGACAGATCAGGACTGTAGAATGGTTTGGCTGGGAAGGGACCCAAAA